ACTTCATTTTTTTCTTTCTAAATTTTGTTAACTTGCTTTTATTTATTAACTCTCTCTCTCTCTCTCTCTCTCTTTAATGCTGACTCATTTTTTAGTTATATCAAAAAATCAAATTGGAACAACATTTTTTAGTTTTATATATTTTAATTTTTCAACTCCATAACTTTCATTTCTTCTCGGAAAAAGAAAAAAAAATTTACTTTAAAAAATTTTCTTTTCGAAATGTTGCGTTGCCAAAAAATTTGAATACAGGTATGTACGTATGTATGTGTGTGTGTGCGTATGTGTGTGTATATGTGTGTGCGTGTGTGCTGTTTGCATCTGAAAGACAGTGAACGTTTTGAGTCACTTTTAATGAAGGCTTATTTAAAGCTTTTGTTTATATAAGCAGGTCAAAGTCTGTATGTGGTTTTGTATGTTTCAGCTCGTATGTATTTGTATGTGTTAGTATATGTATGTTTAGGTTCGTATGTGCATGTATGTGTGGAACAATATGAGTGACAGCGGTTGAGTGAATGATTGTAAGAGCTTTTAAAATTATTGTCATCAAACTCGTCACCATCATCATCACCATCATCATCACCATCATCATCACCATCATCATCACCATCATCATTATTTGCTATCATCATCATCGCCACAATCATCAGCAGCAGTATCACGTGATCGAATGACTGACTGATTGAGTGAGTGAATGATTCATTCAGCATTTTATTTCATCCGATGTGTTAAATTTGTAATTGAATTTATAAACCAAGCGTGGCTTACAAAAAACAAACAAACAAACATACAAACAAACATACATACATACACATGCATACATACACACATAACATACATACATAGATACACCCAAAAAAATACAAACAAACATACATTTCCATGTTTAATTTTATAGAGATATTTATGTGTAAATTAGATTTTTTCTATAGCTTTTTTGCTTTGCAGTGCTTTAGTTTAAATGCATGCTTAATTAATGTTTGTATGTTTGTATCGATTTGTTGATTATATGTGTATGTATGTATGGATGTATGTATATATATATGTTTATTTATTTATTTATTTAATTAAACGTTTAATTGTTTATATGGTTCGTTGAATTCGGCTCCACTAAAATCTTCAAGTCAATCTCCCGAATAAATATAAAATGGTAATAAAATTTTCTCGTTGTCGGTTATTTTTAGGAAGTTTGTATGTATCTATATTTGTTTGTTTGTTTGTATGCATGTATATATATATATATATATATATATATATATATATATATATACATATATATATATATATATATATATGTTTGTATGTATTTATGTATGCATTTATATGTTTGTTTGTTTGTGGGTGTGTGTATGTATGTAAGTTGGATGTGTGTGTATTTATAAGCTTGTACATTTGCTGGCTTTGCAATCATTATCTGTAATAGTAGTAGCAGTAGTAATAATAATAATTTTACGCTACTGCTACTACTGCAATTCGTATTAGGGATGGTAATAATGTTAATAGTATTAGTAGTAGCAGTGCGGTAGTTGTAGTAGCGACAACAGCAGCAGCAGTAGTAATAGTATTTTAGTAGTTATAGTGGTAGTAGGTTGTAGTATCCTGGTAGCGAGCCAATAGATTTGCATGATGGCAGGTTGTTTATTATGCACACACATTTTTGTTTCCGTGTCATTATCATCATCTTCATCTTCATCGTCGTCGTCGTCATCTTCACACTTTTCTAATTGCTATCCACACACGCACACGCACGCACACACACACACACAGAAATAAAGAATGAGGGAGTGACAGTGAAAGAAAGATAGCTAGCAAAAGTAAGATGATGAGGGAAAAATAAAAGTAGAGATTGAACAAACTAAAGAGAGAGAGAGAGAGGAGAGAGAGAGAGAGAGAGGAGAGAGAGAGAGAGAGAGAGAGGGAGAAAAATAAAAATGAAATTTAAAATGATAATAAGTGTTATAATAATATTAATAATTATAATTATCATTGAACAGCAGCTGTACATTTTTAAGACCGTTTTTTAAGACTGTAAATTTTTAACACCGTTATATCGATCGAGTAATTTTCTTTAAATAAAGACACTGTGAATAAATTTTTATATTTTTACGATCTTATTATTATTAAAATATTATTCTTCTTATTATTATTGTTATTATTATTTATATTGTTAAATATCTTGAAAGCGGGAACATGAAAGTGACATAAAATTTTACTAAACCTGTTGAGGCAAACTTGATGGGAGGTGGATGGATGGATGGATGGATGTTGGATGGATGAGTGCATAGATGAATGGATGGATGGATGGTTGGATGGATGGTTGGATGAATGGATAGATGATGTTGTTGCGGCTGTTTTTGATGCCTTTGTTGTTGACGTTGTTTCGTTTCGATTCTTTTTTTTTTCTTTCAATCATTCGTTCATTCATTCATTCATTCCATTTCCTCCACAACCATAACTCTGAAATTAATGTTGTAGCGATCAAATCTCTCTCCTTTCACAAATAATATTTGTGTGGTAGTTGTAGTGGTAGTAGATATTGTAGCAGCAGCAGCAGCAGTAGTTGTTGTTGTAGCGACTGTTGCAGCGGTTGTCAAATTACTTAAACCACTACTAATAAGAAAATTACCTTACTTTAGATTTTCAACCATCAAATCATAAACCTTGCACAAATCAACGTTGAAAATTTATTATAATAATAATTATTATAATTATTTCATTATTATTGTTTATATTATTATTGTTTTTATTATTATTGATATTTTATATAATAATTTTCGTAAACTGTTACAGGCCTGGCAGGCATTTCGGCCATAAGATAATTATCGTTACTCTCAAATAAACAAAAGTAACTGATGTAATATAATAATTACAGCAATAATTATAGCAATAATAATAATTATTATTCTTATTTATTAGTATTTTTTATTGCTACTATTTATTTAATCAATGCTTTCCCGGCTTCTCAAGGCAAACAAAAGTGTCAATGTTTCAAGAACATAAATACTTTTATACGTCGCATGCATGTATTATGTATGTATGTTTGTATGTATGCATGTATGTATGTTTGTATGTATGCATGTATGTATGCATGTATGTATGTTTGTATGTACGTGTTTGTGTATGCATGTGCCTATGTATAAATGCATGTTTGTTTGAATGTATGCATTTATTGGTGAATGTATAATGGACGTAGCAAAAGTATTAGTAGTAGCAGCCGCAGTAGCAGTGGAAGCCGCAGCAGTAGTAGAAGTAGCAGCAGCAGTAGCAGTAGAAGCCGCAGCAGCAGTAGTAGTAGTAGTAATGTTGCAGAATTATAAGCAATGCAAGTAATTATATGGATGTTATTTATATTGATGTTGGAATTAGTGAGGTAGTGCCCATGATGAATGAATTGTAATTTGGGTTTTAAGATGCCAGCATGTATGTTTGCATGTATGTTTGCATGTATGTATGTGTGTGTGTTTGTTTGTATGTGTGTGTGTATGTATGTATTCGTATGTGTTTCTGTCTGCTGGCGATTGTGATAAAGATGACGTCAGTGATGAGGAAGATGACGACGAGACAGAATGATGAGGATTTTGATTTTAAAAGTGCGGTCTTAATATAATGGTCGTTCCTTCGAGCGTTGATGACTTGTGTCTTTGTAGAAACACCAACGATGATGATGACGATGATGATGATGATGACGATGATGATGACGATGATGATGTTCCTGTTGCTGCTAGTTATGACAGTAAATTTATTAAAAACAGGAATAAAAAAAGTTGATTCTACTAATAACAATAAGAATGCTTGGATAGTTCTTCTTGCAAGTAAAATGGCACACCACGGAAATCATCTTTAAAATAAGCTTCAACAAGCAAACATACATGTATGCATATATACATACATACAAATATACATACACACACACAGATACACACACTCACACATACGCACACATCAGTAATATTGTCAGAACTAACAAGAAAATGTACATCATCATCGTCTTCAACGACAACAACATCGTCGTCGTCCCCACCATCAAAAACAACAACGTCATCTTGAAGAGCTCGCCTCAAATCAATGTTTGATCGGATTTCGAAATGATGTTAAACCCACCTCTGCTGCAAATCCGCCATCATCATCACATCGTCGTCATCAACAAAGATAAATATTTCTTTTCAATTATTTTCTATAAACACAACGACGAAGCAATCCGATACATTTGGTTGGAAATTTTTTATTTATAGCATAGAATCTGACAAGAATAGAGTAATAATTTATTCGTCGTTCGGCAAGTAGAAAATGCTGCAAATAATTATCGTCCACTGGCTCGGACCTGCTTGCATTCGAACTCCGTCCTAATGACATAACGGGCGAAACCATTTGACATATGAAGAACCATTAAATATGTAGCAAGAACAAAATAACCTACATAATAGCATACGTATGTATAGAAACATAACGTGAACGCATACAAACACACATATACAATATTAATACATACATCCACACACACACGCGCGCACACACATGTACCTATATATACAAGCACACACATATACATACAAATACGTAAACACGAAACTATAATCATGAAAAAATTTCTTGAAATTTAAATTTTGAAAAGAAAACCGACAAAACTAAAAGATGAATTAACATCATCATCATTACCACATAATCATCATCACCGTCCTCATCATTATCAGCACCAGCACAGCACGCTTTCAACATAATGAGAATGAGCAACAAAAGATGTTCATTCAATTAAAAAAGGAAAGCGGCAGTCTGGAGTGAGTGAATGAAAGAATGAATGAACGAATGAATGAATGAACGAATGAAAGCGTAGATGAATGAACGAGAGAATGAATGAACAATTAGATAAATGAATGAAGTGCATAATGTACTCGCAATTTTTCGAATTCAAATTTTTCCTTCAACTGAATAAATCTGAACGCTAAAATAGAAAGACATCCTCATCATCATCCTCATCAGCAGCAGCATCATCACTTCCTCGTCTTCATCATATGCAGTTTGATGCTATCACACATGTCGTCAAGGGTTTTGTTCTGGCCGTAGAAGTCAACGAAAGCCCCGTCCGGCCCGACCAAGTAGGAGATGATGGTGTGATCCACCTGGCGAGGTTCAATCACGATTATAAATATTATTTAGGAATGAGTGAAAATACGAACGAATGTATTATACGAACCAATGACTGAATCAACCAATCACTCAACCAACCAGCAAACCATCCAATCAAACAACCATTCAACCAACCAGCAAACCATTCAACCGACCAACCAATCACTCCATGCACTCTTTCAAAGTCAGGAAGAATCAGACAACAGTGTATATGAATGCGTGTTACGGGAATACTTCATTTTTGCCATATTTGATAGCCGGTCTACCAGCCAGCCAACTCACTATATAATCGTCATCCCCATCTTTCGGGCCTTCACTATAGTAAACCCTGTAAGCCTTGGCGGCCTTCGATATTTGTTCGATCGTTCCTGTGAAGCCAATCAGCTTTGGAGAGAATTCTGTTCAGTAATTGGTTGGTTGATTGATTGGTTGACTGATTAAATATTTATACTTGAGCAGAAAACTAATTTTATAAAACAGATCAATTGATTAAATTGATCAATTAAATTGATAAATTGATCAAGCGACCAACCAACCAACCAACCAGCCAACCGACCTTTAATATAATCAGAAACGGCCTTGACATCATCTCTGATGGGGTCAACAGTTATGAAGAGAGGAGTGATGTTGGGTACGTCCTTGTCGGCCTCTAGGAAGGGAGGTTGAAAAAAAATTATGAATTAATTATGAAGCTATAATAAAAGTTAGGGTATAATTTGTGATAATAAAATATAAAAAAATTAATAGAGATAAGTTATGATGCATATTTTATATTTGTGAATTAATGTCCCAAAGAATAAAAACATGCATCAGCTGACCACTTAGCCAGCCAGCAAAAACACCACCAGACTGACAAACCAACCAATCAAACCAGCAAACCAACCAATCAAACCAACCAATCAAATCAACAACTTTACATATTTTCTCAATTTCATCGGGGCAAACATCGGGGCAGTGAGTGAACCCGAAATAAATGAGGACCCACTTCCCCAAAAATTCCTGGCTACCCCTTAAGACCCCTTCATGATCTACCAACTCCCAGGGCCCGCCTAATGAAGCCCGGCCTAGTGCTTTTGTTCTCTCTTGTTCCATATCTGAAATTTTTATTTTCAGTCTTCAGTTCCAAACTAATTTATTCATTCATGAATTTTGTTAATTTTGAAATGAAAAGATATTTAAAAATGTTTAATAGCAATGAAAACAATAAAACTCATAGTATTAATAATAATTCAAATAGTTAAACTCTCACTAACATATTTCTTTCTCCCTCTTCAAATACAACATGAAAGCAGTTAGCAAAAACCCTATACCCAACGTTATTATGGTCGTCTTCCATGACATTATCTAATCAAAGAAATTACTTTTTGGTAATTTTAAAACAATTTTAATTTAATTAATTTAAAACCGAAAAAAAACTAACAAAAAATGATTTATTTTTATTGTCATCTGGTTTCTTTGATGACATCGAGTACGATTTACTATCATTAAAAACTACAAATGGAATGTAAAATGATGTTTTGTTGCTGTTAAGGATGATGTTGTCATGTTTATTTCTTCGTGTTTGCTGGATGCTACATAGGGCATTTTTACCTATTGTTGTTGTTGCTGATGTTGTTGTTGTTACTGATGTTGTTGTTGGCATTTTAGAGGCAATAATGGCTAGGTATGCATAACTTCTTCTAGGAAGAAACTGAGAAAATTAATTAATGAAATTATTAACAATAATTATCATAAATTAGCATTTTGCTCTAAGGAAGAAAATGAAAGAATAATGAATGACCGACTGAATGAATGATATAAAAATAGAGAAATGAATGGACAAATCAAATCACAAAATGAATAGAAAAGAAAAAAATAGGTGATGAAACCAATAATAATACTGAAATAATAAATTAAAATAGATAAAGAATAATAAAGCAATAAATCTTCGATATTGATTAATAAATGAATAAATAAATGAATGGATGAATGAATGAATGGAGATAAATGAATGAATACTTACAGAGCGACAATGAGAAGAAGACAAGCACTTGTTCAATTTCTTCAAGAACATCACTGGCATTTCAACAAACATCATTAAAATTATTAAAAATATGTAATGATTAAGATAAAAAATTATTATAATATTTTTTTATCTACTTGAAATATTTTTTAAATTATAAAAATTTTACAATCAGGACAATTTTATTATGAAAATGCAGAAGCGATAATTGAGTTTAAATGTGACATTCAAAACATTATTTACCAACATATAACACTTTCTTATGGGTTGAAGCAGAGATATCCAAAGAATCTCAATTTTTTCAACTTTTAATTATTTTTAAATTCAAATTGTACAATTGTGTTATGGTGTAGTCTCAAATTATTTTGAATTCTCTAAGAAAATTTTAAACTTTTTACTATATACTAGTTACTTTTGATAACAATTTTTAAAAAATTTTCAATTCGATGATGATGATTGTGAACTGACTGATTAAAAAGCATCAAAAAAAATTTTGAAAATAGGATGGAGAATTTGTTATATTGGGATATTCGTATATAAAGCGAGCAAAATTTTAATATAAAAGCGCTTATAAATCTTCGCATATTGGCTCAGCTTGGCTCGGCTCGGCTTGGCTTGGAATTGGATGTTGAGCGAGTTGTGACCTCAAACTATTTGGAATTCTTCCCGAAAAATTTGAACTGCGTGCGTATGTGTGTAGCACTGATTACTGTTGCTTTGCTTTCTTTACCGGACTTAATTTAATTCATAGGTAAGTTAGGGATTGAGATGAGTTGAACAATCGTAGGTAGGCTAGGGCTTAACATTAGTTAAAAAGTTTCATGTAAAATAAAAACGCTAAAATATGTTAAATAAAATATCTGAAACATGTAAAATTCCTAAAACGTAGAAATACAAATTTGTAGGCAAGTGATTTGAGTTAATGATTATAAGTAAGTTAGGGCTCTCAGGGTAATTTAATTGTTGGTAGGTGACTGACTACTATTCTTGCGACTTCTTACTAGTTTAGTGTGATGTTTTTGTTTGTTTTCGCTTCACAGCACCACACCAACAAAACAAACTACACTTTATTCTCGTCGTCGCCTAAAATTTTACCTTTTTGAACAATCTCTTTAATAATGTCTATTTATTTATTTATTAAATGTTGACTGGTTTCTAGTTTTTTTTTAATTTAGTTATATAATTTTTGAATATTTCTTGATTAACTTTGTATATATGCATGTATAAATAATTTCTGTTTGGTATGTTGATTTAGTCATTATGATATGCTGTGAACTGTTCTTATTAAATGTTCATGTTACGGAAATCATCCTCCGGGAACTACTAAGGAGTGTGTATAATAATAATATTAATGGATAATAATTATTTTTTATCGGTCAATATTTTGTTATATTTGTTTGTTTAAAATACGAATATCAAAAAAAATTGAAGTTTTTAAAATTTTAATTAACCGTCACTTTTCATTTTTGAATGAATTCAAATAAAAGCAACTATTGTGTTTTTCTTTCTTTAGTAAAATCTCGAAATTGTTTGTAGATATGTACGGTAAAGTGTTGGTTCGAGTTTGAACAAGCTTTGGCAAAAAAATTTTTTTTTTTTTCGTTTATTTGATTCATTCAATTTGGTTCATTGATTGGTCGATTGGTTGGTTGATTAGTTGATTGAATGAATGGTTGGTTGGATGGTTGGTTGATTGATTGGTTGGTTGATCGATTGGTTGATTGATCTCATAGTATTGTATATATGAAAAAAAATCCGATTAAGCCAACCTACGGCTTTAGTAGCATTCAAATCAAGATGATTATGATGGCAGACAGACAGACAACCAAACATACAGACTACCAGACAAAAAAACCAACACACAAACGAACACACAGAAATATACAGAAACACACATGCAAGCATACATACATACATAATACCTACATACAACAAACAAAAGTACAGACATACAAAATGATGCATATGGTTGATGGGAATTCCCAGCATTTGTGTTGGTACGTGCATGTTTGAGCTCATTTTTGTTCAAGGTGAGCTTACACTGGCTGTTTGTTGTGTGTTCTGTATCGATAGCATGATATCAATAATGTATGTTTGCGCCTCTGTATGTGTGTTTAAGTAGGTGTGTATGTGTATAAACAGAAACACGTATTATATATACATATCGTATTTAAGGTATGAAATTGTATACATGAATATACAATACTGACACATTTATATTAAAATATTCTTATTCGTGTGTATGTATGTATGTATGTATGTATGTATGTATGTATGTATGTATGTATGTATGTATGTATGTATGTATGTATGTATGTATGTATGTATGTATGTATGTATGTATGTATGTATGTATGTATGTATGTATGTATGTATGTATGTATGTATGTATGTATGTATGTATGTATGTATGTATGTATGTATGTATGTATGTATGTATGTATGTATGTATGTATGTATGTATGTATGTATGTATGTATGTATGTATGTATGTATGTATGTATGTATGTATGTATGTATGTATGTATGTATGTATGTATGTATGTATGTATGTATTTTGGGATCTATTCTAGAGGCGTGTGTTTATTATCTTGATTATAAAAAATAACATCCACTGCTGAATATAAATAACCCAGAGATTTGTATGCGTCGCGTTTGGAATAACAGTTCACTAGACAAATAATTAATTTTATAAATTAACAATAAAAATATTTATTAATATAAATTATTAATATTATTATAAGATATATTTAACGCGTAAGTACTGATAAAAGCCTTTAATTTTCTTCTTCCACGTTAAATAATGTTAGTTGAGATTTTCTTTAATTCGTTTAGATTTTTTCATTTGGTTCTATGTTTGTTTGTAATGTTTGTAATTATTAATTAATACATAATAATGTGTGTTTGTTTGTGTGTTTGTTTGTTTGTGTGTATGTTTGTGTGTTTGTTTGTTTGTGTGTTTGTGTGTGTTTTAAAAACTAAGTTTCGTTTTTATTGATTTCCTCCATAAAAATTCATTTGATTTAAGTCATAATTATTTTTTTCAAACACTTCTCGTTGAAAATGTTATAAACATCAAAAATTACTACTTATACTGCTAGAAGTAGTAGTAATAGTAGCATAGAAACTGAAGTAGTATTAGTAGTAGTACCATTAGCTGCAACTGTAGTAGTAGTAGTAGTGGTATTAGTAGTAGTAGTAGTAGTAGTAGTAGTAGTAGTAGTAGTAGTAGTAGTAGTAGTAGCGGCTGTAGTAGTAGTGAGTTAATTTGTTTTAATTAAAGGTAGATGGGATGAAATTGATGAAAGTTAATTTTACCTGAGCAGGTACGACAAGCTAGTTTCATTAGTGCGGTTTTAAATTAAACAAATACATACTTCATAGTCATCGTCATCATCGTCGTCATCATCGTCATCGAGTTTTAAGTAACATATGTTGCTGATGTTAAATGTTCTCAAGATGATGGTAAGTTCGATGAATAATAATAATTTTATTATTATTATAACTATTATTATTGATATTATTTTTATTATTATTATTATCAATATCATTATTATGATTATTATGATAATTATTATCATAATTATTAATTTTCTCATCGTCATCATTGTCACCATTTTTAATCATTCATCTCGGGGTGTCGTGATAGTCCTATTTACAATTGAACTCAAATGAAGGATTATGATTATGATGACGGTTTTCAGTAAAATTGTTGATGATGATGATGATGATACAATAATTGGGTTACTATTATAGTTCATGTTTCGAAGTTAGACGAAATTTCTTTGTTTACATTGCCATATCTATGTAAACAATATTTCTGTTTATTTTATCTATGTTGCCATGCTCACGTCATTCGTCAAATATAAACAAAATTTGCTGTTCCACATTTATCTACATGCTTTTTGATGCAATTATTTTAATTATTATATTAATTATAGTTAATAATTTTATAATAATATTATTATGATTATAATCCATAATTTTCAAAGTTTCAAGTTAGTTTACAATGAGTTTTTTTCGAAATCGTAGTTAACAGTTAACACATTCTTTTTTATTGTTTATTCATTCGTTCGTTCGTTCATCCATTCATTCATCCATTCATTCATTAATTCACTTAAAGATTCATACATCCGTTCGTTCATTCGTTCGTTCATCAAGTCATTCATACCTCATATTACGTTTGAATTGTTGAAATCATGATATGAGAGTACGTGAAGTGCTACTTCTTGATAAATATTGTATACATATTCCAGTGTGTTTGTTGTGTGTGTCGTGTATGTTTGTATGGATGTATGTATGTATGTATGTATGTATGTATGTATGTATGTATGTATGTATGTATGTATGTATGTATGTATGTATGTATGTATGTATGTATGTATGTATGTATGTATGTATGTATGTATGTATGTATGTATGTATGTATGTATGTATGTATGTATGTATGTATGTATGTATTTATGTATGTATGTATGTATGTATGTATTTATGTATGTATGTATGTATGCATGTATGCATGTATATATGTTTGTTTGTATCACATTTGAGGAGTGCGCGCGCGCGCGCGCGCGCGTGTGTGTGTGTATGAACGTATATATGTTTATGTTACTTCGTATTTGAATATTTTTATATTGCATTTTCGGATGTAATTGGAGATGCTTCTAAAGTATTTGTTAATCAGAAATGTTTTTAATTGCACGAATTTTAATTAAGTAGCGTTCCTCATATGTCAAGTGTTGCGAAATATTCAAGGTATTTATAAAAACACCCACACAAACAAACAAATAAACACATACATAAGCAAACACACACACACAAACCACATACACACCAAAACATACTTACACACATACATACATACACATATACATACATACAAACAAACACATACCAGCACATTCCGTCGCTAAATTAATTCCCATAGCTATCATCATGACGAATGGATTAAACTGTGACGACGACGATGATGAAGTTGACGATGAAGACGATGATGATGTCAAAGCATGTTTGTTCAATCAAATATTTTGGGTAGTTTTTTTCCAGAATAATTTACACACATGTCACTAAATGCTGTTATCATACATGCATACATACCGACGTACAAACACACGCATACGGACATACGTACACACACAAACATACATACATACATACACATACATGTAGATAAAAACGATAACATGCATACATACATACATACTTAAACACAACAGACAGTTATTTCATTTTTATTTTTTATACCATCAGGTCTGTCTGAATCGAGTTATTGAAACAGCAACTACAACAACAACAACTACAACAACAGCAACAACAGCAACTGCAACAACAGCAACTACAATAACTGCTCTTAACTAACTAACTAACCCAACCACTACTACTACTACTGCTACTCTTCTAGTACTACTACTACTACTGCTACTACTACAAAAGTCACGCCAACAACAGTCGCAGCTATCTACAACAACATGCACCCATCAACATCAACTGCAAACCATAACAACATTACACAAAAATCGCCACAACAACATCAACCACAACCACAACAACATCAGCCACAACATCAACCACAACTACAACAGCAGCAGCAACAACAACAACAGTTCACCCAATCTGCCAGCAACAACATCGCGATCAACAACCACCTGACGAACGCCAACAACAACAAACAAGTTGAACTGTTTGTAAAGGCGGGAAAGGATGGCGAAAGTTACGGGGGTTGTCCAATTTGCCAGAGATTCTTCATGATTTTGTTGACCAAAGCAGGTTTTTTAGAAGTTGTTGTTTTTTTTGTTGTTGTAATAATAACAATGGTTATTTGGTTTTGTCGTTTTTCCATCTTTTATTTGACCATTTTTCTTTCTTTCCTCTCTTCCTTTATTCGTTCATTCACACTTTCTCTCATTCATTCGTTCATTTTTTATTTGTTCGTTCCTTTATTCTTTCATTTCTTTTTCTTTTTTAAATTTTTTCCGTCCATCGTTCTTCAGCACATGTTGCTAGATTATTCAGTGATTCAGCCGACAAGTGACTACTGTGATTCATTGATTAATTCGTTCAATTTTTATTTGCCTACTGTATCGCTCACTTATTTGTGTTTTTTATTAATTCATTCTTTTACTGATTATTCAATAATTCATTCATTCGCTCATTTATTCATTCATTCGTTTGTTCATTCATTCATTCATTCATTCGTTTGTTCATTCATTCATTCATTCATTCATTCATTCATCCATTCATCATTATTAGTATAATTAGCGATTGCAATTCACTTCATTCTTTCGTTTGTTTGTTTAATCGTCCGTCCACACAATCATCTCCTCATTCCTCCATCCATCCATTCACTCCTTTCACTTTTTCACTCAATCATTCTCAGATTACAACAAAGACCTCTCGCTGATCGTGACGACAGTGAACATGTCGAAGCCGCCACCAGATTTCAAGAAGCTAGCCACCAGGCTTCCCGTCCTCAACCACCAAGACCAAATCATCAGCGATCAAGATGAAATGGTTACTAAACTACTACTTCTACCACTTCTACCACTATTTAAACAGCTACTATTACGACTGCTTCATAACAACTATTACTACTACTTCTTACTTTTTCAAAATTATCAGTCACCATGAGGGGATTGTTACTGATACTGCATTACCACTCCAATTGAAACGTTCACTGTCACTTCACAGTTGAAACTAACATCACTTTTACGACTTTAACTGCTAATCTTTTTACTGTTATTTTACTGCTTTGTATTGTGTTGCTCATTCAAATATTTTCAATGTTATCATCTCGTTATCGTTGCGTGTAAATTACAAATGTTATCTGAAAAATGAAACTGATGCCACTGCTACCAACTTTCCAGGTCCAGTACATTGACAAGACCTTTCGCTACCCACCGATGAACTACGACAATGTAGCCGCCGCAAAAGCGTGTCGCGACGTTTTTTCCAAGTTCAGCTTCTACATAAAAGACGTGTCTCAGTCGCCGGCGGCGCTTCTAGCCGAGCTGCATCGCTTAAACGACTACTTGATGAATTCGCCGCACAAATTTTTGTGTCGCGACGTTCCCGACCACCTCGACTGCATGATGTTGCCGAAGCTGCAGCATTTAAGAGTAGCTGCGAAGGCCTTCAAGAATTTTGATATCCCGCTGGAATTTAAAGGGCTATGGAGGTTTGTGAGTGGTGGTTGGTTGCTGGCTGGTTGGTTGCTGGCTGGTTGGTTGCTGGCTGGTTGGTTGCTGGCTGGTTGGTTGCTGGCTGGTTGGTTGCTGTGACTGAATCATTGAAATATTCCATATATTAATATTATCGCCATCGTTGTCGTTTTCATGAAAATCCTTGCCTTCATCATGCTCATCATCAACTTCATCTTCACCACCTCCAAGATACCTGGCAACGGCCTACAACACGACATCATTCCGCGAAAGTTGTCCCAGTGACCAGGAGATCATCTTCCACTGGGGATCGAAGCCGGAATGTCCGGATCTGTCGAAGGATTTCCAACTTAGCGAGGCCACTCCGAAATATTCCTTTGATTACCCGGCCGATGCTTACAAGGAATGATGACGATGATGATGACGATGAAGATGATGTGTGATGATGAGGATGATGAAGATGATGTGTGATGATGAGGATGATGAAGAAGAGATGATGATGAAGATGATGTTGCATACAAAATCAGCGCTACAATAATTTGGTTTTACAAAATGCAACGCATTGATTACTTATGATTCTAATATCATTTAGTAACATGTTAAGTATTTCAATTTTTAGAAATACAATATAAAAATATTATTTTTAATATATAATAAATTTATTTCTATTAGAATAATTTTTAAAATGATTTCATTGGTTTTGTTTTAAAAGCATAGAAATTAACTTTTGTTGAATTAATTTTTTAATTAACTTGTATGCAAATAAGTTTATGCTTTATATTTACAATATTGTATGTATTTATGCGTGTGTGTATGTACGTGTGTGAGCATGTATGTATGTATGTATGTATGTGTGTGTGTGTGTGTGTGTGTGTGTGTGTGTGTGTGTGTGTGTGTGTGGTGTGTGTGTGTGTGAAATCGACCGTATTTGCTTTTGTTGCTTAAACCTCTGATAATTAATTGAGAGTTGTAAAAAATATTCCGCGAAAAATACTACCACTGCTACTACTACTGCTGCTGCTGCTACTACTACTACTTCTGCTGCTACTACTGCTGCTGCTACTACTGCTGCTACTACTACTGCTGCTACTACTACTACTACTAATGCTAATAATAGCAATAATATAAGCATCATTTAAAACTTAAAATGAAATATAATATAGTGATGAGCTGAATTAGAAATTGCTACCAATAGGTTGATGATTTTGTTGTGTGGTTGCTTACGATTCATTATTATTGCTAATTATTATTATAATAATTAATAATACTAATAATAATAACAGTATTAGTAGTAGTAGGGTAGTTTTTATTGCTCTTGATATTATAGATATTGTTTGGCTGTACGTCAACTCCTTTCTCATTTCATTTCGCCAGCCAGACAGACCTATGAAAAAAGTTCGGACAAAAAAAACTACAACTACTACTAATACTCTCACGACTACCATGCTACTACTACTATTACTACTGCTAATCATGACCTTGAAACGAGAGAGAGAGAGAAAGAGAAAGAGAGATAGTAGGAGTGAAAGGAGGAACAAACGTAAAAAAGGTGCGATTCTGAAACGAGCGGCCTTGGAAAATTTAAATATGCCTCGCAAATTTCTCTCTCTTTCTCTCTTTTTCTTTCTTTTTCTCTCTCTCTTTTTCTCTCTTTCTTTCTTTCTCTCTCTTGTACTTTCACTTTTTTACTCTTTTTTTCTTTATCTCTCTCCTACTTTCATTTTTGGCTTTTTTCTCTTTCAGATTTTCTCCTTATCATTTTTCAAATTTCTTACTTTTCAACTTTATTCTCTCTCTCTTTCTCTATCTCTTTTTTTTCTCTCTCTCTCTCTTTTTCAATCTCTTTCCTCTCCTTCTCTCCTCACCATCTCTCCAGCAGGAGTTACAAGGCCCACATCTACCTGGAAATAAAAAAGCCATAAAAATAATAACAATAATAATAATAACAATGACAGCGAGCATAATGTTTAAATAATTAAAAAGATTTTTCACAAAAAAAAGCAAGGGGTTCACTCATGGGAAATGTAATAAAAACACAAATAATAATAATAATAATAATAATAATAATAATAATAATAATAATAAATAATAATAATAATAAAAAAAATAATAATTATAACAATCATCATCATCATCATCCATATCAACTTCGTCTTCTTCCTCATCGTAATATAGAATTTCTATGGCAGAGGAGAGTGTTTCTGTGATTGTTTATAAAACAATAAAACGTTTCTCTTGTTGTTATTATTATTATTTATTATTATTATTGTTATTATTATTATTGTTATTGTTGTTCTTGTTATTGTTGTTGTTTTGTTTTTATCTGCATTATACTTCGGCGTTTCGTTTGATTTCTTCCGGTTTTCATAAGTGTGATTTTCTCACTAAATCATTCTTGTTGATGTTGTTGCTGTTGTTGTTAATGTTGTTGTTGATGTTGTTGTTGATGATGAAGTTGAGGTTGTTGCTGTTGTTGTTGAAGTTGTCGTTTAAGTTGTTTTTGTTGTTGTTGTTGCTGTTGTTGTTGTTGATGTTGTTGCATATTTGTGTATAGTTTTTAACCAGCTTCAGAAACTTATCAGTAGGCCTAAGGATTGGTAGATCGATTGCTATCTTGGTAGATAGTGAATGAATGAAAGAAAGAAATAAAGAAAAAAAAAGAAAAAAAGAAAGAACGAATGAATGAATGAAGTAATGAATAAATGAACGAACAAACAAAAGAATGAATGAATTTGTTAATAATAAATGGATAGATTGAAAAAAAATGAATGAATTAATGATTAATTGTTTAATTTGATACACGAAACAAAAGTATGCGCGTCTAGAATTCAAATTTAATCATCGTCATCATCATCTTCTTCAACATTATACCACCATCATTCTCTTCATCATCATCACTATTGTATGAATTAAATATATTTTATGCTATAGTTTCAATCCAACAGTAGTTTGTAACTTTGCTTACTATAATATATAAAAAAACTATTCTTCTTTTTCTTTTTCATCTTCTTTATTATTATTATTGTTGTTGTCGTTGTTGTTGTTGTTGGTATTGTTGTTGTTGTTGTTGCTGTTGTTGTTGTTGTTGCTGTTGCTGTTGTTGTTGTTGTTGCTGTTGCTGTTGTTGTTGTTGTCGTTGTTGTTGTTGTCGTTGTTGTTGTTGCTGTTGTTGTTGTTGTTGTTGTTGTTGTTGGTGGTGGTGTTGTTGTTACGGGAGATCAGGGAAGCAATCAGGCAGCTGAAATGGCTCCAGACTATTAAATCATACTGAGAGTAAAAAATGAGAGACAAAATTTGCAAATAAATATTATTATTATTATTTTTAATAATAATTATTATTATAATAGAAATAATAATAATTAATATTATTATTGCTTTACTATTTTTATTATTAGAATGTATTTTTTGATGATATATCAGAGACTAGCTTGTGACTTTTTAAAAGGTTCATACATACAAACACAAATAAGTACATACATACATACATACATACATACATACATACATACATACATACATACATACATACATACATACATACATACATACATACATACATACATACATACATACATACATACATACATACAT